TTCCTGTGGCTAGGCTAATCCGCTCCCAAGCGTCCCCAAATAGATGCCATGAGGCACGCTGGCTAATGCGTTACAGTACTTTGGCACAACAGTTCTTTATGAGCTAAGGCCTACCAGTAGTGTCCCGGCCTTGCGGCCATGGGCTAAGTGGTATGTGAGGTTAGCACATAGCCATCCCTACGCTTAATCCCGTTATTTTGAACCTGAGAAGTGAGCTTTCTCTTTGTCACAAAGTAACAGTTGCAAGGAAAATTGCAAATTGCAAAATTGCAAGTAACATTGCAAGGAAAATGCACAATTATTTTTTGCCCCGACGAAAAATCGAATCCAGGGTTGCGCCGTGGGATGGAAGCACACTAACCAACGGCCTATCGAGGGTCTATTTATTTAGTACTATTAAAGTAATAATACTAACATACAGCAATAAAAAATGTAAAAGTGTAATTACGAATTAACTTTTGACACTGTGTGCGTACGTAAAGTTATTACAAATAGTTTACTCACATAACGATCGGATGTAAGTTTAGGACTCAAATAAATGAACGAAAAAATGAGCTAATATATTAAATAAATAAAAAAATATATAAGAGACACTTGAACTAATCCATGATATAATTTTTATCCTTCTTGTTATTAATCCTCCGAGCAGTTATACCAAGCAAAGCTGGTGTCTCCATTCATAATACAGATCGTCCAAAGTGGTCAATTTGGGTACTCAAAGTTTAAGAAAAGGGTCAAACATATTTGGAACCAATACAAATGAATTCATTCGCATATTACCATGTATTTTTCCGAATTAACCAATTTTTCCTTCGTTTTCAGGCGGTCATTACGTATGCCTTCTGGGAAATCCAGTGCTACTACAACTCGTCGAAAAGGTAAGTTTTTATAGTTTTTAGGAAGCAATTTAAAACAAGTATATTCTCATTATTTTTTAAATAGTATGTATACAAAGAAGTAACCCGTATTGTTATGTAGTGACACCCCAAAAATATTTGACGCAAACTTAATTATAATGGCGAATTTTCCTTAATCTTTTTTCAATATTTAATCACTTCATTTAAATGACAAACAAAAATTAAGATAAAAATATGCATTATCTGTTTCAATTTTTCTAAAGATTATGCGGTCTGCACATATTTTAAATATTGTACAGTCTGCAAACCATGTGGTCTGCACAGCTTAATTTTGAAGTAAGGAGTTTGATGCGTCTTAAGGGCACTCATGTAAAGCAAATTGCTCAGGCGACGGATCTTTTACTATCAACATTCTCCAAGATAGAGAACAAGATAAGGTGCTTTAAGGCTAGTAAATTGATATTGTATTTAGTACATAGTGGATATACTCACTTTTGAATGTTGTTAATTCACATCTCAATATTTACATACGTCAATATTAAAATAAAATATGGGAAAAGATGTAATATGCGTGATCTACAGTTCTATTCGATACTTCTAGGTTTCTTGAAGCGAAACCATCTCTGGATATACTTGGGATTCCGTGTCATTTAATATATTTCATTGATTGATTAATTGGTTAGTGATACCGGGCGCGTGAATTCCCAAGATAATTAGTGTCGTAAGTGTAGGGCATCTCTCTCCGCTGGTTGGTGACATCCGGTGCCGATCTACATCGACTGGCGGCGATTTTCCTCAATGTCTCCTTCCAGCGTGGTACCGCCGCAGTCGGGACAACCTTTAATCTTCCGACAAGTGTGGTAGTGTAGTGCGTGTGAGTGGAAGTGGAAGTAAGGGGTGAGGAAAGGACAAGGAAGAGGAAGGAAAGATCGCGCGCGGTTCGTGGTCCGTTTGTTAGAGTACTGCTCCGGGATTCGCCTGGTCATGATCCGAAAATCCATGGAAAACTTCCGATCAGAGCCGCAGATTATCCTCCAGACAGCGGCGAATTTCGATGTAGCTGGCAACCTAGTGTCGAAAATCCTGCCACTATCGGGACTCGATCATTAGGACCTCTTGCTAAGAGGCATTGCAATGACATCGATTGATGCCTTGAGTCACATTGGCCGATTGAACATATTTTAGATATATCTTGCACTTAGAGGAGCTGCAATCTGTCTTATTCTAAAAAATGCAAAAGAATTATCTTTCCTACGCATCACGCCGTCATAAAAGGAAAAAAATGAAACAAGAACGACTATCTTGTATGACGCATGCCATGTAGACATACGTACTGCACTACAGGTCGAGATGAAACAGGAAACTCATCTGGACCGAGGGAATTGGATGTCATATTACGCCTTCTCAATTTCTCAGCAACTGCTGAGAGGAGATTCTATCTCCACCGCTAAGGTTTCTCTCGTGGAGGTGGTGGGGCAGGTTGAATGACATATCCTCAATTCATGAAGTTACTCACTACAAGGAAAGCTACGCGACGTGCACCTTTCTGCACACAGGAGCTCATTGCCTTTTCGGAAACTGCGCGCTGTTCTGTGTCGCCAGTAATCTTACGGGGATGCTGTGATATTCCAATTAATTTCGTCTAATATATGTGTACATAATTCCGGAAATGTTTGGCATAGTGAGACCAAAACCACAATCCCAGAAGGGCAACAAAATATTCGTTTCGCCGTTGGCTCAAAATTTCGTAATAAAAATGTTACATTTTTTGTATAGAAAGAAACAAAAATCCGTCGCCATGAGTAAGAGCATTGTACAAAGTCCGGCTTACTCTTACTTCCAAGCTTGCCCATAAGCGTGTTAAAATATTAGTTTACGGTATGTCGATGTAGACTGCAGTTGTGCAATTGGAGAAATATTCTAAATGTTGAACTAGATTTTTAAAGAAATTAATTCCATATGTGTGCGAAAACATTCAAGATATAAATATGTCTTCCGAAATCTGAAAAACTAGAAAATATATTAACACATGTTTGCAAGAAATCATTGTAATATGCGTGTTACTATGTACAATGCATTTAGAGTAATTTATTAAATAAATAAAAATATTCCTTCGATTATTTGAGAATTTGTTCTGTGGGCCGGCCTTGACTTGGTGTTTTCCGGTTACCGGGAAGACATTTGTATGCGACAGTTAATATTGATTCAGCAGTTTGTTCTGGTTAGCATTCATGAAATTTGCCGTCAATATTGTATCAGGTCGCTCTGGCATTCGCGACCTCATATTGTATCTTGGCCACGAAGAAAGCCGAATTGCTTTCGCGGCAAATCCTATCCCTAGACAACAGGGATGTTTCTTGCTATGTGCGCTAGAATGTAGCACTTGCTATCGTTCTCATCCCCTTGCCTGCTTCCAATATAACGTTGGGAGATAAATGGTACACTTTATGAAGCATTTCAAATGGTCCAGCTGGAAGTGAACAACATCGTGCTGGTCGTTATGCTGTTTCTGTCTTGTCTAGTGCTCGTTTTGATTTCCTTTGTTCTCTTTGTCCTTTATTTGTTCTTCCCGCATTTCTAACATTTATTGAGCTACATCCGTACTATCTTATATTATTTTCTAATTGCTGTCACAGTTACAGAAGATAGAGAATATACACGTGCTAAATCATTTAGTGCAAATAACGCAGTAAATTCATATAGATACTCGTACAACTATCGCATACCTCAACCAGAAAACTAGCACAGTAGTCATGAACGTGATGTCCGCGAAAGACACTGTTAAACAATTAAAACATATTCTCATTAAAATCCTGTTCCTGAAAAACTTTAGTGATATTGGTCATTGGTCATTTAATTTCCAAAATTTTATTGAATATTGCTGAAGCTTATTTTTTTTGCTTTGGTGGATTTTTTTATTACTATCATAAAATAATAATTTAAAGATACTTTTAAAGTGCATTCTAAATATTAAACATATTTGAATTAAAATATTTGAATAAGATTGAATTTAAAATATGGCGATCTCGTCTCAACTTCTAGACTGAGACCCCAGGTAGAGTGAGACGCTAACTAACGAGACTGTCGAACCCAATCCCATTCACAATTCTGCTACTCTGAAAGCCACTACTAGATTCTAGTAGCTGCCACCCAATCCCAAAATTCGTTGTGCGCGTACTAATTCCTCTGTGAATGGTTCCCGAGTAATTGAGCACAGGCAGCTTTAATACAGGGCAACTCGCGCGTCCCCACTTTGACAACCGCCAGCGAGAGGCGGCGCGGGGCCGCGGCCGGCGCTGCTCTTTAGGAGGCGGGCCCGCATCCCCGTGCGTCTCGTCGCGGCCGCAAGCACCACGCCGCGCCACGCCGCTCCGCGCCGCGCCGCGCCCGGGCATTAATATTACACTCGCATTCGTCTCGGGATTTGCGGCGCGTAATTCGAGTAATTGGCGGGCCAGCTCCGCGAACGTGGCGCGGAGGTGGAGGCGGAGCAGCAGTAGCCGTGATGAGCAGTCGTGCGAGAAGAAGAAGAAGAAGAAGAAGAAGAAGAAGAAGGAGGAGGAGGAAGACGACGACCATGAGGTAATGGAGACGGAAACCGTAGCGTTGGAGGTTATAGTGAAGCGAAAATGGCGAAGGTGGCATGGGTGGCAAGGGAGAAGGTAAGAGACGGAGCAGGTGTGGAGTGGCGGCGGGGTAGGAGAGGAGCGGTGGCGGTTGAAATGTCGGCGGTGAGGGTATCGGCAGAATCGCGAAGTCGCGGCCGTGATGAAAAAGGTGGTGGTGGAGGCGTGGGCGACAGAGGACAAGAAAGGCAAACGGCGCAAATGAAGGCGAAGATGGTGAGGAAGGCGGTGGTCAAGGCGCTATCGAAAACAGGGGCAAATGTGGTGATGAAGACGTTGACGAAGGCTGTGGCGAAGGCGATAGTGGTGGCGACCGAGATGGGGGACGCGGTGGCAAAGGCATGGCGAAGGCGGTGGCGAAGGCGGTAGCGAAGGCGGTGGCGAAGGCGGTGGCGAAGGCGGTGGCGAAGGCGGTGGCGAAGGCGCTGGCGAAGGCGCTGGCGAAGGCGCTGGCGAAGGCGCTGGCGAAGGCGGTGGCGAAGGCGGTGGCGAAGGCGCTGGCGAAAGCAGTGGCGGTGAAGACGTTGGCTGTCTCGCCGGGAGCGCGCTGCTTCGCCGTTTTCCAAGGATCCGCCGCCTCTGCAGTCGCCGTTGCCGCCCGCGTCGCCGCGGCCGCGCCCGGCGCCTTTGCCTGCGGTGTTATTGCCTCGGGGCGCGGCGGATGGAGCCCGCCTTTCTGACGAGGCAGCCCCTCCACTACCGTTGTAGGTCGCTGCTCTTTTTCCGATGCTGTCTTTCTCTATGCACCACCTCTTTTGTTCTTATCAACTGCATTCTTCTGGTTGGTTCGAGGTGATTTTTTTCCCTGTTTGCGTGTTTCTTTCGTATTTTCATCAATCGTCTGAGGTTCTTGTTCTCCTTGTACACTTCTTCTCTTACACTGTTCATTTATAATGAAAAAAATTTGTTCAGTGTTCATTTTGTTTCTCGTCAGCTAATCGATGTCTTTGTTTCTGATTAATCAAATTAATTTTTACTTTATTCCTTGATTGTTATCAGATCAATGTGGCCAATTTTCCTCTTTCATTCCCCATTAATTTAGTTTTAAATTTCTTTGCCATTTTTTGACTTTCCATTCATAGTTTGTATTCTTTACTTTAAAAAATCACTACTATTCCTACAGATTGGATTCCCAACATTTCCAACTTTATATTTCTTTTTTCAAGCATCAACCCAATTCTCATATCTAGTCAGTTTATTCTCATGTTTTATAGAGCAATGTATTCATGTCTTCGTTTTTATTTATTTTCACACCCTCTAGTTATTATTTTCCACTTCTTCGTGCGATTTTACTCCTTGTTCCATATATTTCCCATTTCTGTTATCTGGAGACCCCGCTGCCTTTTGTTTTGTTTCCGCCGCCTGGGTGCCTGCGGTGTTGGCCGGCCGCCCGCTCACGCCTGTCCCCGATCTCCCCTTCTCCCTCTGCACCCGAATTCTACTCAATCCACCACCTCCCCTCTCCACGGCCCTCCGTCAAGCCTACCGTTGCCTCGCCTGGCCTGTCTTACCCTGAACTAGTGTTGCCTGATCCTGTCTTTGTCCACTTTCGCGTTGCTCTGTCCTGTCCTGTCTGCGTCTTGCCCCGCCCCGCCTTCCCCACTCTCTTCTCGCTCCTTGCCTGTGTTGCTCCGACCCAATCTTGTTCCGGTGACAATTGCTAAGGTCACGAGTACCGCAAGCGTAGTGCATGTTTTTTGCGGGAGGTGGCTGTGCTCTTTCGCCGCCACCGACTTCCCGACGATTTGCGGGGGTTTCCTCTTTCTAGGTATCTCCCCCCTGCGGGGAACGGCTTCAGCCGGACAAACGCAAGTCTCAAGCGTCCATCCTCCCCGTCTTGGCCTGCCGCTGTCTCTTCCCTCCATCGTGTGGCCCCGCCACCTTCTTAATATATAACGGTTGACAAATACTTCAAATACGTCACCAAGTCTTTGAACCGAATACAAGGTGCAAGAACGACCAATGTTTTCATTGATCCTTCCAATAATGAGTCAAACCTTGTTAACATTAGTGAGAAATATGAAATCTCACTATACAATCCGTTGAAAGGAGAAAGGGAACAGCTAATTAAATCAAATGAGTGCAAAAATAATAATCCATATAACAGTCTCAATTACAGTTATGTCAACTTCACTAAGTGTTATACAACATTTGTGCAAATATTACTGTCCCTAACGCATATTTTCGATAGTTTATTACACAATTAGATATACTTAATGTCAGTCTTATTCAAGATAACGGTTTATGTAAATGTCGAATAGATAGTATAGAAATTTACACCGTTTCTATGAATTAGTAATTGCATTGAAACTATAAAAAACGCGTGTTTTTCTAGAATTCTTCTAGAATATCCTAGAGCAAAATATTCTGTCAATCTATTTATCTTGTCAGGAGAAATCGAGCTATAGTTCACCTTGTACGTGACACCCAAAACGCGATTTATTTGCTTAAAAAATCAAAAAACACCGCTTTTGGAAAAACTTAGAATTTTGTGAATGGATGTGCAAAAAAGGATCAAATCCCCTTCAGGAGACTCAGACGCGACCTGAATTGTCTTGAATAGTAGACCGCAAGTGGTCTAGCAAGTGTCATTGATAGACAAGTAGACTGACAGATACGGACGAACCGACTAACTGTGCGACCGACCGGCCGAACGGACAGACAGACGGACGGACGGACGGACGGACGGACTGACTAAGGATATTATACACTTCACAATTACGAATCAGCGATAGAAATTCTGGAAGAACAAAGCGGCAATTCATGTATAGATAAAATTTTCTGAATCCTACAAATTTAAAAAAAAAGTAAAGCCTGTGGAAGAGATTCTCATTTATTGTTTGTTGACCTCCAAAAAGCATATGACAATATTCCCATTAGCACACGTATTAAAATTTTAGAACAAAAATGTTATTATAAATTAGTTAACATTATTAAGAAAATTAATAAAGACAGTAAAGGTGTTGTGAAAGTAAACACACAAGTATCAGATGATAAAATAATTTGTAAAAGATTGAGACAGGGGTGCTGTATATCCCCAACTCTTTTAACATATTTATTGCGGAAGCTCTGATAGAATGGAGGAGGAAATGCAGTGTGATGGGAATTCAAATTGGAGAATCAACACTGGATGTTCTACTTTTCGCAGATGATCTAGTCATTTGCGGCGTAGAGGATGAACACGATATTAGCTATATGTTTAGAGAAGTTAAACAGGAATTTGAAATACTGGATAGGGGATTGCAAATAAATGTGTCCAAAACGAAATGTATACAGTGTAACAGGAGAATATGGAAATGATCTGCACATAGCAAATGATAAAATACAATTATGTGATAATTTTAAATATTTGGGCATCACAGTTTCGAAAGAGGACACAAGTAATAATTATATAAATAATAAGATAAATCAGGGGAAACGATTCATTAATACGCTAAATCCAATTCTGTGGAACACACAGCTATCAAAGAAAACAAAGAAAAATATATACAGTACATTAATAGAAAGTATTGTAACTATGGCTCGGAAGTATGGGAACTAACCCCAAACAACAAAAATTGACGATTCAAATAGACTTTTTGAGACGATATTTCAGAATATCTCTTTTATACCACATACGCAATGAAGAAATAAAAGAGAAAATTCAAAAGGATATAATAGATACTGTAGAACGAAAACAGCTTCAGTGGTACGGACATCTGCTGAGAATGTTAGAATTGAGGTGGCCAAACAAGTATATAAATGGATGCCTCCGTACAGAAGACGTCGGGGTAGACCATCAACCCCATGGAAACGGACTGAGATGGCAACTAGAAATATGATAGTGGATGATGTAATGGATAGAGAAGGCTGGGAAAGAGGAACCGAGAAACATCGCCAGATGTAAACCACTCGGATATATATATATATATATATATATATATATATATATATATATATATATATATATATATATATACAAAATTCCGAGCAATTTCCAACCGCCTATTAATTACAAATCTCAGCACCACGCTATCTCATTCGTCTCTAATGTAATGAATTCTGTGGAAATGTAGTTACGTCAAAGGTTCAATTCCTTCTCACTTTGTGGAATTATCTCTCATGTTAATCCTTGTTTGTTTCAGGACACAACAGCGGAATACTGACTTAGGGTCACAAAGAGGACACTCAGTAGAGCTCTTTGCAATTGAAGCTTTGGATGGACACTGGGAATTTCACCTTAATACTCGACTGTATCCCTTTGTAATTGCGCTGATTTAATGATTGTTGTTTCGTTTGTATCAAGTTAACAAAAAAAGTGATAGACTGGAATGAAAATTCAAACACGGGAAATAAAAAAACCGAAAGGCATTTTGTTTGGAATTTGAAATCTGGAGCAGTTCAAATAACAGATACAGAATCTTCCTTGATACTCATGTATTATAGTATTGTATTAGTTAAAGGTTAATTAAAACCATTAAACCCCACTACGTTGTATGCCAAGAAACACGAGAGGAATTATCTCTAAAACGACTGAAGTGCTGAGTTTCCCGTTAATTATCACAATTCCTATTAAGTATTAATTGTTGAAACAGAGAGTGAATTAGGAGGTTACATATAAATGTAGCTCCTTTAAAAAGACGTGAATGGATATTATTTGCTATTCTTTTCTATTCACTGACGATTAAGCACGATTTTTTGCAAGGTTCGGTAATACATACTGTACTCTATTTTCTCTTTAAAAACAATGTAACTATGGAAGGAATTTACAAACGGGAGAACACTTCTCATCGCTAAAAATGTGAACGTTTGTTCTAAAAAGAAACAATACGTACGATAATACTAGTTTCAAATTGGTTACCTAATAACGAATAATAAAAAATGGGTCATCTGATTTTCAAACAGATCACTGAAAACTGAAACTGCCACTGGAAAGAAAGTACGATTAACTGATATTTAAGTAACAACATTTTTTAACCAATACAGTGTTTTGGAAATACTCTTGCAAAAATGTTTTGCATAAATTTTCCCAATTGTCGGTTTAAAAACGTGAAAATAAGGAATTGATATTTACAGAAATAAAATGTTTATTGTGTATTGTTACGTAGGCACTTTCGAAAGAGCTACGGGCCTCCTGGTCTCTAATGTGTGCACGCTTATGAATAATTACATTATATTACTTCTGTATTGTATTAGAATTCTTGCAACTACACATTAATTTTTGTCACATAAACTACACAGTGGGGTCTCCCGGATCCAGATTTGTATTGTTACAAAAGATCTATAAAATATTACTGATGTTGGAATGTCTTTTGTATTTCCATTTTCATTGAAGAATGCATGAGAATGAAAATTGCAATAATGTAATTTAAAAAGTCAAACATATCGCACATTTTAAAGTATGCTCCTTTTTAGTGCTTATCAAAATTATAACAAATATTAATTCCAAAGAAGTCGCACAACAATCTAACGTAAATCCAAATAATATTAATTTACATTATGTCACCGACAAACATTCTCAGATTCCTTTCCATGATTGGTATTTGAAGTCTTTTCTTCAATAATAGCTCAATTAGAAGAATCATAAATTTTTAAAAAATATAATAATAATAATAATAAATTTCAATAAGTTTCTATTTTAACACGTAAACAAAAATATTCTCCTTGAAAATGTACGAACAGAAATGTTTGTGTCCCAATGTTCTCTCCAAATGTATTGGAGCCCAACAAACCTTTGTCGCATCCCTAACGAAATAATGTCTATCTTCGTCTCAGAATTGGCATTCTAAATAGCATTAGGGCCAGCTTACGTTTCAGTGTCGGTTTAATGGTGATTTGTCGTTGATGCCATTCTAAAGAAAATAATTAGAGGCATTCTCTGGGTCAACATTATTTAATACAAGAGGAGTTTTCGATAGCTTACCCATCATATAGTCAGTTACCTTCTATATGGAAGCACTTCTACTAACTAACTTCTACTCTACTGGAGCTACTTCTAATCGATTTTGTCTCGTGCGGAACGTGAAGAAAATAAGCTGCATAAAATTAGACGCGGACGACTCCCAAATGCGATGCCCGGTATATGATATAACTAAGACTAGTAACTCCGATGTTGATTGTAATCATGAGACATTTCTGCTACAAAAAATTGAAAGTTGTATTATTTAACAAAGAGTGAAATGCAACTTAAAAAACATCAATAACTAGATAGCAGTACTTTCAAGCATATAATACGATGAAGATGAAGAGAAGTTAAAGAAAGAAAATAAAAACAAAGAGTATAAAAATCTCTATCTTACAGACGTGACATCAAAAAGATTAAGCAGGAATGGATTCAAGTGCGACGTTGTTCAATATTTGGTGCGAACTGCAGTTATTCATTTGTTCGATCTTTCATCAACTGCGAAGAAGCGAGGCATCGGGAACGGTGCAAGTTTTATTTGCCCGTTGCGAGCGCTGCTTGCGGCAACGAATGATAAAAACCCCTTCTTCCCGGAATCGAGGCCGCCCCATAATCTCAGCAGGCGTCTTCCTCGGGCCTTACCCATCCCCCGTACGTTTCATCTCAACACATTCCTCTCCCTCGTCCACCATCCCTCTCCCCTCCACCCATTGCATTTCGTTCGCATCGTCCTTCACTGCGACGGACTCCTGCTGTAACGAAGGAAGGCCTGCTTCCAGAGCCACAAGAAAGGAGTTCTCGGGAGGGAAAGGCAGCTGCAATATCTGCGCGTGATTTGCCTTTCTAAGACGGGTTTGTTCGTCGGCGAACAGTAGTGTTCCTTTCATTTCCTGCTCTCTGGCAGACGGTTCTTCGCCGTCGTCCTCGTCTTCGTTGTTGTCGAATCGCGAGTCGCGGAGCTAGTTGGCGATGCCCTGCAAGGCACATGGGATTCTGGGAACCAGGGTGCCCTGAAACGGGACCCTCAGAGAGGTTAGGGTGTTACGTTGCTCAGAGCCCCGTTTACTCGTTTAAGGAGCGGGCCGATTCGCAGACTCAGAAAACTAGCATTTAATATAGAAAGAGAAGCTCCCAATTCAGCTTCTATTGGGGTACCTAAAAAAACAGAAGTGCTATCTTTGTACCATTATTCTCTTCTTTCTGCTTCGACATTGTTTTATCTCATCTTCACCGGTGCTTTTTTCATCGACTTTCTTTTATCTCACATTTTTTATTCCTTTATCACATTCTATGAAACCCTTTTCCAGTCTGAAGTCCGTGTGTGTGTGTGTGTAATAAAGATGCCAAGGTAACTCTATCCACTTGTTATCTTTTATTTAAGACCGTCGTTTAAATTTAGTTGGATATCTCCTTCATACTACAGAAATAATTTCAAAAGTGACTGAACGACTGCTCTTAGTTTATTGTGTATCACCCTATTTAAATAACAAAATTCATTGCATTTTCAAATAGATCTTAAATTGGTGTAACGTGTATTTCCATTACTTTTGAGAACGCAAAAATATAAACATATCTTAGTGAACATATACTTCACAATATTTTAGATTAATAGTGCGAAAATACCTTAAAACATTAATAATACATTAATATGTTCACCGATATCTGTATTAATTACTATACTCAAGTAGGGAATGCATTTTGTTATTCAGTTGTATAGTGCATATTTTTCATCTACCTTTAGTTTTAAAAACACGTCCATATTTGAAAAATACGTATGGAGACATAGAGAAAATATAAATAATTTGTTGTGTTTGAACTTCTATTTACATACTTTTGAATACTTTCCGATTTTAATTAAACATCCACTAATGCCTGCTTCTACCGTATATAAATGTTCCATAACACAACAAAAAAACTAATACACCAGACATTAACTCAATACAAATATACTTGTGAATGAGAAGCACTAACATTAAATATTCTAATTTTAATTTTTTTGTTCAATAAACTTGTTGGAATCATCAAAAACGAATATAAAAATAAAGAAGTAATTATTATTAACAGTGTATGATATAGCATGTAAATTTAAAATCTGTTTATTTTATTTTATTTTGATATTATTTTTAAGCGGTAAATTTTCTTATCTCTTCCAAAACTAAATCGTTCCCGTACATATTTCACTCGCATTGTCTGCTGGTATTGATGCGCTAGGCTGCGAAGTTATTACATGAAAAATAGCGTAGTTTCTCAAACTTGTAATAAGTGATCTCGAATGCGTTGGAGTTGATATCAAATATTCAATTTGTTTTTTAATATTACTATTTAATTGAAATTTGCAATAAAAGATTGATGATGAATATCTACAATCGCAGTAAATTCTCATCTCACAAAATACTTATATTTAAACATTTATTCTACAAAATTAAATTCATCGTTGTTGACTTTTTATATAAATGCCAATGGTCACATTGTAGACGTCGCAAAAATTTCTGCAATTGTGCCACGTTCGTGTTTTTTTTTATCTTCACGACAGACGTGTGTGAATGTGCGCTTGCCCGGTCGTTGCAGGCGCTTTCATGCAGATCGAAACTCCAGGTTTTTCAAATAGAAGCGTCGTCGGCCGTATGGAAAGACACCCCCGGCCCTCTCCAACTTCCCTGCCCCATCCCCCCAGTCTTTCCCTCTCTCCAATCCTGCACCCCCCATTCCCACCGCGCGCCAGCCGCTTTCGACGGTCCCCATGCGGCTGCCACTTCGACCGCCTTCTCGCAACGTGGTCGTCCACGGTGACGCGACGGCGACTCATTCTGCTAATTGGCCCGACCGCTTCCCCCCAACGCCTCACACGATACCCGACTACCTGTGCCCATTGTACTACGGCTTTCAATTCATCTCACCCCCGCCCCCGCCGCGCTCAGGAAGCCACGTTGCCGCATGCCCACGCTCCCACGGCGCAACACCCCGCCGCCTCGCCAACCAGCTTTCAACCCAAAACGTCCCCTTGCCGGACGCCGCTCTCGCGCCCGCGCTATGCCGCCACGCCGCACACCAACCCGCCACACCCGCCACCACCCGCCCACACCGGCGCGAGACACCTGCCCCGCCGTCCCGCCGCCGTCCTACTGTCCCTACCGTCCGCTGCCATTGTTGTGTCCAGGTCATCACCCTTCCTCCACCCCGGTGTGGCCCCGCGGCCATTGAGAGAGCTACGGTCGTCTCACCGTAGACGTTTGTCATCCTACTTCCCAGCTCCAACCCTGGACCCGCCTCGTTCCCGGCCGGAGGGGATTGTTGGACCTTCGATGTGCCCATTGCTCTTGTTCCAAGCCGCCTCGTCTTCTGCTTCTTTCTTCTCCTTGGTGCTGCGGTGCTTCTACTATCTGCATCACGACTGGAAAGTTTCTATAGGGAACATGGCCCTATGTTGGGGCATGTACAGTGCTCACACAATAGTCGAGATGTCGGGCGTTTTTTTGTATTTTTTGTTTTATCGTTTTTTACAATCAGTCCCTCACAATGTCTTGACACTTCTTTACTCACCTCATAGATCGAAAGCCGCATATTGCAGAGCAATTACAATAGTGTATTTTAGGATGACAGTTTAGCTTATCTGGGAGGAATCCCGGTGGACCCATCTGAAAGCCTCTGCCGTAGCGCTTGTAGGGCGGACCGCCATTGACTAGATCGCCATGCTGCTGCCAGCTCCAACCTTTGGCCCTTGATCTCGTCGCGGTACCAAGGTCATTGTTAGGGCTTCTACGCTATCATTGGTCCTGTGGCAAGTTTGCACTGTTTTCGTCCCTACTAGTCTCTTCTTCGTGGCACTCTTTTGCTTCAAGTGAGCTGCTCATGACAGGGAAG